GAGAAATTGATTTCATGGACCACTTGGAACTAATTTGCTTCACTTTTAAACCTCCGGCTTTATCTGGTTTTGTGACTTTTTTATACATGGTGATCACGCCAATTATCATGATTTATTATGATTGAGCATAATTTAAAATGTAGTTTACGTATCTGTGCTACATTAATAATAATATTATTAGTTTTAATAACACAAACCTAGTGTAGGTAAACAGGAATTTAGATCGAGATTTTACGGTAATAGAAATGGGATGGGAATTTGGGAACTTGTATCCCATTAAATAAAATTTGGCATTTGACGGAAACACAAAAGAGGGAGAATCACTTTTAACTTCCCATCCATGATGTGTAACTCAATTTTAAATTTTATTAATTCCATGAGTAAACCATGAGTAAATTTTTTTCTCTACACCTCAAATTTGAAGTGGTTCAAGCAGAACTTTTGTTTAAAGTATTAAAAAACATAAAACAATTAAAATACTCAATATTAATTTTGTTCTCACTAGTCAGTTGTAATATAATTTATTTAATGTATAAACTTTTAATATAATAATGTAAATTTATATTTGTTGCATTTATAAAGTAAATTTTATAAAATTCATTAAATTTTGATTAAGCAAAATGAAATAACAATTAAAAATCTCATATTATAATGTATATTATTTTTAAACCGCTTTTTAATCACATTTTCTATAAAATATCATGTATTAAATTTTATTTTATGTGTTGTATTTGAAAAAATTTTATGTATAATATTTTGAATATAAATTCGTATAATTATATTTGTTACATTTACATATTTATTAAGTAACTCATTTTAGTTATGTAAAAATAAAATAATAAATTTAAATCTCTTAATAATTTAATTATAATAAATGTATACAGTATTTTGAACCGCTTTTTATCCGGTTTTACCATTCAAACATATATTTTGGACCGCTAGATACGTTAGATCCGTATTTGTACCATTTGATTCGCTTGATACGCATTTGTTCCGCTTGATCCGCCTGATCCACAACGCTCGATATGTTTTCTCCATTTGGACCCTCAAGTGGACCGTGTTATGATTGACCGAATCAAGAGTTTTCATTGTTTTGTATTGGGCCCAAATTAAAATCCATCAATGAATAACAAAACCCTAAATCGAGGTTCTATATATATGTTGACTGATCAACATATTAAACACCAAAGAATTGATTTTTCTGATCATTCACATTAGACAACAAATGTTTCGCCAGGAATGGTGCTCATTGCCCATAGGAGGAAGGAATCTTCTCTAGCGGACTTACGACCATCAAAATTCCTTCCACCAATACGACTGCGCCGTGGCACGCTTGTAAAATATTAAAGTCAGAGTGACATTTTTTAGATTGTCCCTTAATATTTTGTGAATTAGTTAGGTGAATTTCCAATGTTCTAATCATATTATTTTTAAAAATAATAAGTTTTATGTTTTATCTAAGTCAATATTATTTTTTTATTCAATTTTAATGGTAAGATTTTTTACAATATTTCATTAATTGTTTTAAACAAGTTTATGAATATTCTAATATGTTTGGCAATTGGGATTAGAGTAATCAAAACAAGTTACTTAGATATAAATGTGTTTGACAATGAGTCTAATCGAATTAAATAAATCAAAAATAAACAAAAAGCTAAGAAAAATTATGATGATAACACACATCAAAAATGACCTACAATATTTTTCCTTAATATATAAAGAATGTTATATAGCATTACATAATTTGTTTCGAATGGAATTTTGGGAATTACAATTCCTGTAATTTCTCATCTCATTTCCAAATGAGAATCAATAGTTTATATTCTATGAAAATGTATGTCAATATAGATCAGTTTTTTAGACTATGAAATATGAAACAAACGGGACGGGACAAAACTTATATC